CAGCTCTTGGCTCCTGCACACGGCTGGGAAAGCTTCCCCCAAGCTGTGTCTGATCCCAGCACAGGCACATAAACCAGGGTGGCACCAGGATGGGTATCCCATCCCTTCTGGGAACCACACTGTAGCTCCCAGAGGCAGAACAAACAGCTGGTGACTGTCACCCTGCATTGAGGGGGGCCAGGGCACACAAGTGAACTTGGTTAAAGCTGTGCTGTGTTTCCTGCACACATTATTCCCACTGAATTTCCACAGACTGCAGTTCAGCACAGAGCCGTTTCAGAGACCTTGTTCAGCCTGTGTGGAGAGTTTAAAGTTCAGGAAAATCTCCCTGGGAGCTCTGCACCCCTGAGCTGCCCGCTAACTGAGGACAAGTTGTCAGGACAGCATTAGGAATGGGCAGCCCCAGGCAGCAACAATTTCTTTCCCCAGGCTGCAGAAAGGAGAGGAGGGTGGAAACCCATCCAGGGAGGGGGAATAATCTGGGATACTTTGTTCTGGTGGGTCTCGCATGTTTGAGCCAAAGGTGACAGCTCTGGGGGGTCAGCCCATGGAAAGGCAGCTCTAGGGGTTCCCRAGGGTGCATTTTCAGCACTGTTTTCATGCTCACCCAGCATCTCAGCTCCAAGCACTCTCTCTCCTGTGAGGAGCAGGGTGTTTTCYAGGAATGCTGCTCCAGCAGGTGCCCAGCCACCCTCAGCCAAGCAACCCCAGGGAAGCACGGCTTGGGGGCTGGGCTAAGCACCAGRTTGGGCAGCCCCACAGGGTCAGGGGGACGGGGTTTGTAACTGGCTCTGCTCTCCCTCTGCGGTGCCCCYAGTGCCCGGGTGTCTTGGGAACCAGCTGGAAGCAAAGCTGGACAAGCCAGATGTGGTGAACTGGATGTGCTACCGCAAAACTGAGGATTATTTCACCATCTGGCTCAACCTCAACACCTTCCTGCCCGTGGGAGTTGACTGCTGGATCGATAACACCAGGTACTATCCAGCCCTGCCCTGGGAGCTCCCTGGGGAAATGATCTACCAAGGATCTCCCTCCTCCCCCTGGCCATGATCTAGCACACATGGAAAAATATGGGAAAACCATGGGATTGTTTAAGAACATAAGAGACTGACTACTGCTCTGAGCATTTCCCATGTCTCTGCCATGTGCTCGTGCCCAGCCAGATCAGTCCTCTGCCACCTCCTGTCCTGTCCCYACAGGGTGGTGTACAACCGAACCTCTCGGAAAATGTCCAATGCCCCAGGGGTGCACATCCGCGTGCCTGGCTTTGGCAAGACCTATTCTGTGGAATACCTGGATCAGAGCAAGCTGGCAGGTGAGAGGAGGAGAGGCCAGGGTGTCTGGGGATCCCACGTGCTCCCTGCAAATGGGGAGGTGTCCCCACATCTCCAGCAGGGACTGGTGCTGCAGGGAGCCCAGGGCACTGGGAGTGAGGGATATTGGCTTTGGGGACACACTCCAATTGAGTGCTGGCAGGGACCACCCCATCTTTGACCCCAGTACTCAACGGGATGCACAGAGTCACTACATTTGGCTGGAGCCACTGAGCCACAGAGCTTACCAGAGAACATTTTGGCCATGACCAGAACCAGGATGGAAAAAGGTTGACAGGAGAAGACCACAGACCTAATTACCACCTGTTCCTTCTGTCTGCAGGTTACCTGCACACCCTGGTGCAGAACCTGGTGAACAACGGCTACGTGAGGGACCAGACGGTTCGGGCAGCCCCCTACGACTGGAGGGTTGGACCCCGTAAGTCTGGGGGTTGTAGCAGGCCCCCCATGCAGGGAGGGAAGCAGGATGGCCCTCACCCCATCATGCTCCCCTCTTGTCCACAGAGGAGCAGCCCGAATACTTCCAGAACCTGAAGGCGCTGATYGAGGAGATGCACAACAAGTACCAGAGACGTGTCTTCCTCATCGCACACAGCATGGGCAACCTGCACRTCCTCTACTTCCTGCTGCAGCAGACCCAAGCCTGGAAAGATCAGTACATTGGGGGGTTCATCTCCCTGGGTGCCCCCTGGGGAGGCTCTGTCAAGCCCCTGCGTATCCTGGCATCCGGTGGGTGACTCCTTGTGTGCAGCCATCGCTTGGTTTTCTTTCCCTCCTGCAGAAATGGAAGGGTGGCGGTGGGCAGGGAAAGGGAACAGTGGTGAAAGAGGAGGGGGATGCAGTTCCTTTTTAGCCTCTTTCCAGCCCAGAAAGCCACAGTGACTTGCCTAATGCTGACAGCCCAGAATATCTGCAAGTCACAAGCCCAAAAATGCACGAGATTCAAAATCATKTGCTTGAAAGTTTTAACAGCTGGCCCCTTGCATCACCCTTAAGTCACCTGCTCAGATTTTTCTCTGTTGCCTCAAGAGCCAGAGATATTTTTAAGGTCATMTGAGGTCATTCCATGGTTTTCGGACTCCAAGCATACCAAAAATGCCAAGGCTTGAAGGAATCATGCACTATTGGGTTTTGCTTGCTCCTGTCTAGCAGGCAGATCTGGAGGTGCCAGGATTGCAGGGAAAGCTCAGGATTGGGTTGGTCTGTGCCATCACACATCCAGGTTTGTCTCCACTCAGCCCCTCTGAGCAGCTAGAGATGAGAAGGGAAGAGTTTGGAAGGTTGTTCTGGATGACTGCAGGGGCATGAGCAGCCGGTGTAAGGTTGTGGAGAGGGTACAGATAAGGAGGGGAAGAGCTGAGCTGGATCTGTCTAGGAGACAATGATGGGAGCAGTGATGGCAGCCCAGCTGCCCAAAGGCTCTGTCTGCGAGGGGACACTGAGATGCTGTTTGTGATGAGCCCTCRCGTGTCCCACAGGTGACGAACAGGGCATCCCACTCATGTCCAACATCAAGCTCCGTGAAGAGCAGCGCATGACCACCACCAGCCCCTGGATGTTCCCAACCACCATGGCCTGGCCCGAGAGCCACGTTTTCATCTCCACGCCCTCCTACAACTACACCTACCGCGACTACCAGCGCTTCTTCACCGACGTCAACCTGGAGGACGGCTGGTACATGTGGGAGGACATGAAGGACTTGCTGAAGGATTTGCCCCCTCCTGGGGTGGACACATATTGCCTCTATGGCACAGGCTTCCCCACTGCAGAGACTTACATTTATGATGAGAATTTCCCTTATGAGGACCCYGTGGATATAATTTATGGCGATGGGGATGACAGCGTCAGCACTCGCAGCTTGGAGCTCTGCAAGCGATGGCGCAACCAGCAGAAGCAGAAGGTTTATGTCCAGGAGCTGCGAGGTGCCCACCACTTCAACATGATCTTCAGCAACCTCACACTCAGCTACATCAACGAAATCCTGCTGGGAAGCCAAGAGGAGCAGGGGGAGCCAGGGCAGGCAAAATCCAGTCCAACGGCTGGGAAGTTGGGGAAGATCCTACRTGAGCACAAGATCCTTAAGGAGTTTAAAAAGAACTGAAAGGAGTGAGGGCCAGCTTCCCTCCATGATGGCAGGCACCACAAACCACCCTGCAGGGGAGCAAAGGACTCAGAGCTGAGTTTGGAAAGAAAGTGAGCAAAACCAACAGCTCGRGTGGATGGGCTGGCACCCACTTCCACACTGATTGGTTCTTCTTTCGGGAATGGTGATTCATTTTACTTCAGAGGCTTGTCACTTCCCACCAGCGAGTGGATAATTAACCGTGCTGCCAGCTCATTAACATCACACTCGTGTGAATTCCAGCGTACGCACAAGCCCTCATTGCTAGCAAGCCATTTTTAGGCACTTTAGAGGCTGTGGACCCGTGGTACCATAGCTTCTGCTCATCTGGGACAGAGCAGCTCACATAACACGAGCAGGCTCTGACTTACCAGGTGGTCACAGAGGTAGCACAGGGGTGGCACAGTAGGTATGGCTTACAGAGCAGCGAGCTAAGTTCCTTGGGCAAGACCAACACGAAATCAGCAGATTTACAAAATAATAAACACACTTTGCTTCTGCCTGCTGAGTCTGCCTTGTCATTCAGAGCTGGATGGTGAAGCCAGGGTGAAGCCTCACCAAATAGTGAGGTTCTTGGTGCACCCCAGGAGACAGGCCTTTGGGAAAAAACATTGAGTCAGTGATAGGGCAGGGGTTGGTGATGAGACCAGGGCTGGCAACATGATGGGGCTGACAATGTGGTTGGGGATGGTGACATAACCGGGGTTGGTGATACTACTGGAGCTTGATGATGCAACTGCTGCTGGCAGAGCAACTGGGATAGAAATATAACTGGCCTTGGAAATGTGACTGGGACTGGTGATGCAACTGGGGAATGGCAATGTGACTGGGGTTGGTGACACAAACAGGGRTGGTGATGCAGCCAAGGCTGGAGATGCAAACAGAGTGGCGATGCAGCCGGGGCTGGCAACACAAATATGGTGACACAGCCGGGGTTGGTCATGCAACAGAGGCAGCAATGCAGCCGGGACAAGCTGTGTAACGGGACAAGGGATGCTGGCGTTGCAGCCGGGACAAGCTGTGTAACGGGACCGGGGATGCTGG